CAACTCAAGGTGGGTAAGAGACCTGGGACCAAAGCCCAAATCCATAAAGTTCATCAGAGACAAACTGGGATCAAGCTTAGATGGCCTAGTCTATGATATAAAGAGACCGCCAAATACAGCCAGAAATCCATGATCGGAAAAGGATAAAATTGATGTATGCCTAAATTTTAATACCTAGAGTAAACTGACAAATTATGAGGAGCCATGTGGCATCAGGATTGGAAGAAGACTCAAACAATCTATGATATGCTGATGACACAACTTTGCTTGCTGAAACTGTAGAAGACCTGAAGTGCTTGTGACAGAAGGTCAAGGATTGTAATATTCAATATGGATTGAAGCTCAACATCAAGAAGACAAAGATTCTCATCACTGGGCCAAGCACCATGATAGATGGAGAAGAGAATGAGGTTCTTAGCAATTACACAACCAACAGTCTTAACACCAGGAGACAGGAAATCAAAAGATAAATTGCACCAGGAAAATCTGCTGTCAGGGAGCTCTCCTGAGTGCTGAAAAGCAATGATGTCAGTCCAGAGACTAAGATGCACTTGTTCCAGGCCATGGTCTTCACAATTACTAGTTATGCTTCAGAGAGCTGGACAATGACTGAGGATGACAGAAGAAGAATCAAAGTGTTTGAGTTGTGGTGCTGGAGAAGAGTCCTGAACATAACATGACCGGCAAGAAAACAAATAGGGCTTTCTTGGAGAAAGTGAAACCAAGTCTCTCCTTGGAGGCTTGGACTTTGAAGCTCCATCTCACATACTTTGGGCAGATGGCCAGGAGAGACTGGTCTTTGGAGAAGGACACCATACTTGGAAGGGTGGAGGGACAGTGCAGGAGAGGAAGACCCCAGATGAGATGGATTGATACAGTAACTGAATAATAGGGGTTGGTGTGTCGGAATTAGTGAGACTGGCTCAGGACAGAAAAGGGTTCAGAGCTGTTGAACGTGGGGTCACAATGGGTCACAGACAACTCAATGGCACATAACAACAACAACATATTGTATTGGTTGGGCTTTTGTATTTAAAAGTTGGTTGTTATTATATTGTGGAGGAACAGTCTTCTAAGTGGTACAGCATTCATCTGTCAATATGCTGAGGTAACCTGTGGTTTCTGTGATGCTAAACTCTGTGCCAGTGGGGTGTCAAATGGCATCATGGTTACTCATTGAGGACAGTGTTTGGTGGAGCTCCCAGTTCAAGACAGGTTTGGAAGCAGGAGTGGCATCCACTTCCTAAACAACATGCCTCTGGAAACTCTATGAACTTTGAGAAATTACAGTAGTTATAGAAAAGTTTCACAAGGTCCCTATAAATTGTGCTTGACTAGGTGGCACCAAGGAGGGGAAGGTGGGAGCAGAGGGATGAGGATGGGCAGGTGGAGGGTTATCACAGGCTCACACAATCTGATGGGTGGAGAGAGGGGTGGGTTAAGGAAATGGTGGGAGAAACAATGTATACCAACTTTGTAAATAAACCAGTATAAAAAAAAAACTTAAGAAAAATTAAAAAACGAAGTGGATAAAGATTTCACTATGAAAGATAAAGCTACAAAAAGAGACTCAGAAAAGTAGCCCTATTGGTACAATAGTTAAGCCCTCATCTATATTGAAAGGTTGGCAGATCAAACCAACCCACAAGCTCCAGGGAATAAACAATCTTAAAACCTGTTCTTGTCAACATTATAGCCTAAAAAAACTTATGTCCTACTAGGTTACTGTGAGTCTAAAATTAGCACAATGGCACCTAACAAGTATAGCATGATTCAGGGTGAGCAGAGAACGGTTCATTAAAAAAAAAACAACACACAAATGATAAGAAATAGTTTTTTAATCCTCTGACAATGCAATCATGAATTTTTAATCAAAAGACTTACTAAAAGGGCATATAGGCAAGTCACAATTTATAATGACATGATGTGTTAACAACAAAGACTCAAACTCACACTCATTGCAGTGGAGCTGGAGTCAACTCAAAGTTGAACCTCCAGCAGGTTTTCAGAGGCTGTAAATGACATGGTTAGGAGAGTGCCCATCTTTTCCACAGTGCTGCTGGTGGAATCAAACCACCTGCTTTTAAGTTGATAGCTCAACTCCTTATTAAAAGGAGGTGAATTCTGTTTCTTGTAATGGAGACCTTGAAATACAAAGTTTCTCATCCAATAAAATCTTTTGAAAGACTGACCCAATCTTGCATGCAGACAATACT